AATAATTTACCTGATAAAAATCAAATGACTGAGCATTCTGTCCATCAACTATCTTTTTGAGTATCACTCTCATTGATCCATTCATTTTCGGTTCTAACCAATCAGCTATATGTGTGCATTCACGGCGTAATAATGTCATCTCTTGTACGTTTGACAATAGAGAGTATTCGATCCATTGTATATACACATCGTATTTACTCTTTGTATTTTTCCATGATGCCATAATAAATGAATCCAATGACTTGTTTCCAGTCGTCCAATCTTGTAGTCGTGGCGCTTTACATTCCAAACAGAATAGATTTATCTTACGTTCTAATTGCCCCGTACATGCCAGACATATTTCACTCTCACTCCGTTCTTTTATTAGACAATACTCTCCCCCTCTATATGTGAATCCGATGGTAACCCAAACATCCATGGTAAGAATATCTGGATGCTCATCACATAACTAGTGGAAATTGTACATAATAATAGTTATTTAAATTATTCAATAAACATAACGCATAAGTAAATGGGTTACCTCGGCATAATATAAATCATGTGTCTCGTCTGTTATCTCAAGTGGAATCAATTTAATCTCAGCAGTGGATAAACCATTCAAGTATACCCCATATTCCCTATCATCAATACAACAATATGGGATCCATTCTAAATAGGCATCATTTGCAGAGTTTGTTTGTAATTGAGATTTCTTGATAAACTCATCGAGTTGCTTATTGTTGCTAGTCCATCCATCGGATAATTGTTTATGTCCACAAATGCACCACACGGGACTACATCGGAGTATTCCACATGCGGAGCAGAATCCATATCGAGAGTAACAATGGTAAAAGCGTTCATCAGCAACCATGTAATAGTTGTCATCATCATACTTGGTAAACCCTTTTATGAGATCGTTGCGACAATTAAGCCATTTGGTATATCTTCTGAACTGATTGGTGTCGTTATGCTTGTGTGTCGGAAGTGAGTATATTCTAGCGAACTCATTCATAAGTGTCGGCGTACAGGTTTCATCGCTTCCAAGCAATAGTAATATTATCGTAGTTCCAGATATAATACCACAGTATAGTATATTTATAATCGCTGAAAGTGAGTTCCTCGTTTGCTTGCGAATGGCGTAGTAGATGTTGTCAATTTGACTTGGCTTTATGTCGGTAATATCCGAGTTGGAAACCCATTCAAGTTTATTATTATGTTCATTTTCGAAGGAGTGAATCAGATTGTCGATTATTGCATGAGCCCTTAAGACTGATGGCATCGTTCTGAAAAAGCATTCCCTATTTTCTTGTGCTATATTGTTATTTCGCTGGTGATACAAATTGTAACAATTTGGAATTTATGAAGGGCTTCGCCTATAGGGCTTCGCCTCAGAAATTTGTGTAATATGGTGGTCGAGGTACGATACGCATATTTATTTATTGTATTTGCATATTGATGTCAATGAATATGCTATGAAATGTATTCCTGCGACACGACATACTAATAGTAGATTGGTGTTACAATTCCTTAGGCGGGGCAATCGCCTTTTTTTGTCTTGCCTTGTTTTTTCCTGTATATAAGATTCTCGGTCGCTTTCTATTGTAGATAGGAAGTTGATTTTTTGAAATAAGTGGGGTTGGGTTATCTGCTTTAGGTAGCATGTCTAGGTAATGGCGATGAGAATGTACCTTATGCGAAACAAAAGACCTCAAATGTCATCGACTTCTACCTTGCTCAATAGAGAAACCAAACGAAATTTTCCCAAACTAGCAGGTAGACATCTCGGGCTAAATCACAATGTCTCAATATATTTGAACTTTACTGGGATAATCTAGACCCCCTTCGGGAGTATTGTCTTCTTTTAATCTCTGATCTCTATTAATTGCTGTCAAAAAATTTTCGCTGTTGAGAGGAAAATTGACCTTGTCCATCGATTTCCGTGTTGAAAAATACAATAAATAATACACGCATATAGTAATTTTCTCAATCATGCCCACAAGCTATTAAAAGCAATCTCATCAATAGAAGTAGAGGCGGTTTAATTGTTGAAAATCTATATATACAAGATCGGACACGAGTATTTAATTCAGTTAAAAGGTCACTAATTTGTCGTTTGCAGATTTTAACAGAGTTTTTCCAGCCTTAAAGAAGCTAAATCTCAAGGTTGATTTCCAATTACTCTCTCATGCATGACATTGACTCGCTCGAAACATCGCTGCTTATTTCTAACCATCTAACCAAATCTAGAGCATGATTAACCCCCGATTGCATTATCCTAAACCCAAATTTTGGAGAATTAGATTAATAATGATATAAGTTATTTATTCACAAGCAAAATTTTTTATAGCCACCAAGACGCGATTAACTGCAGTTGGCAAAGACCTTGTCGAAAGCGAGAATTGTATGGATAAATATGCTGGTCCAGTTCACGGTTTGGTGAAACACTTATTATGACGATATGATGTAACAATAAAGTGTTAAAATATTCTTCCACTAGAAAAATTTTTATTCAATCATGTCGTTAGTTTTAGGGTCAAGGATAGCAATTGACAACTTGGTTCAAGCCTCCTTAAAGAGGGAATATAAATACTCAAGACTTGAATTTCCTTGTTTTTAAATTACCTCCATAAGGCCAACTCAAATTGACAACGTCTACTACGTCTAACTGTGGTGGAATTTATGAAAAAATAATAACATTGGTATAAATTGGAAACAGCGAAGAAAGCACACCAATCTCTGCGAGTAAGTTTGCAGAATATACTCTCAGCTTGAACTGCTGCCGGTTCAAGCTGTTTTTCAGTGTAATGCGCTACATAATAAAAAGTCAGATTTGTCAGTTGAGATGAATATAAGAAAATGCCTATATCTGTTTCAAATAGCAACATGTTTGTTCTCCAAGCTTATTCCGTCGTTCTTTGACTTTGACACTTGCAAAAAGTTTACAGTAATTTAGTTTCGTCTTGAATCTGTCAACCTAACCTCATCATTCTCAATACGTTGCTGGCCATACGGAGAGTATCCACCTGGGGAGGAAAGCCCTCATAAGAATTTGTTATATTCTGGAGATCTCTGGATCGATATTGAAGAGGTGGAGGATAGTTTGGTAACACTGAGGCCCGCCAAAAAGTTTGTTGTCGAGAAATCTTTTATTGGTACACGGTGGTAATCCATAGTTGAATGTCAACGATGGATAATATGATTAGTTTGTGTAAATAACGCTTCGCACGTAATTGTAATAATTATTAATTGTTAAAGTTTTCTCGACTAACTTTCGTCTGAATATTGAATATTTCGCTTTGTCTTTAGCTATTACGTTTGATCTATATATATATTAGCAAGCGCTAGCGAAAATTATTTTGGTTTCGTGATATTTTCTGGTAAGCAAAATTTTAGGTGACAGGGAATAGTGACAATAACATGAATTGTGTTAATCCTTGTGACGGTGTGAATGATAGTATATCTTTTTTTTCCGAAGCAATAACAATAAAGTTTATTGTGGCAATTAATAGCATGGGTTAATAGAAAATTGTTTCTGCAGTCCAAATATTGCATATAGTGGTAGTAGTAGTTTAGTGGTAGCAATAAGACCGTGTCTTTAGGATATGGTAGTATTACAACAAAATTGAATATAGAGTATGTTAATCAATCCAGATCATTGTGGTCAAGTACCAAACCGTTGAACTCAAAACTGTGTGTTTAATATGTCTTGTTACCAGAACGCTGCGTACTTTAGTTTCCATAATACTATTCCCTCGTTTTTTCTCTCAGAAAGTATTTTTTAAAAATTGTATTACGATACAGAACAACGTGTATTTTAATATATTCTTCTGGTCTCCGGCATTCCATATTTGCCTTATGACAAATTTTTATAAAAAAAAAATGCTATATCAAAAAACGGGTTCACAAATTATGCAAAAACAAATTTGAGCGTACGCAATAATTTGTGCTCCGTTGTATTCTCACTGCGGATAAGGTCTCTATGTTTGCATACTGTTCCATTACATTAAATAACTTTATAATCTTACTACACGGGACTTGTTTTTTTTGATGACGTCACTAAAATTAGATTCAGATTGGTTACACGGACAATCAAGAAAATCGTCACGTCATTGTATGATTGATGGACACGTTCTTTAGCTTTGCACAAAAACACGTTCGTTCAGTGGAACCGCGCATGAAAAATGGATAGCTTTATTGATTTATACTCGGGTCTTTCAGCTGACTATGAGAAATTATATGAAAGTGGCAGATGTACAGATGTTTCAATTCTGGTTGGAAACGAGAATATCAAATTATTCCTCGCCCATTCATGGGTATTATGTACGAGAAGCAAATTTCTTGAGAATAGGTTAATCGGAAGCGCGGAGATGGAGATGTGGGATGACTGACTATGAGAAATTATATGAAAGTGGCAGATGTACAGATGTTTCAATTCTGGTTGGAAACGAGAATATCAAATTATTCCTCGCCCATTCATGGGTATTATGTACGAGAAGCAAATTTCTTGAGAATAGGTTAATCGGAAGCGCGGAGATGGAGATGTGGGATGATGTTCAAAAGACAGTCATAATCTTTGAAGATGTTACTCCTGATGTTTTCGAAATATTGCTCAGGTATAAGTTTATATAAATGTCAAAGAGTTTTGTATATACAAGTTTATGTGCATAATGTCAACGTTGATACTCATCGCAAACTTAACGACTCATAGGTACATTTACGCTGGGAAAATGTCCTATGATTCATGCAAGAATGTAGGTTGGATCAGCCTTTTGGATGGAGCAAGCAAGTTGGGACTATTTGATCTCCTCACTGCAGTTGAAACTTATTTGATTGATAAAGAAAATGAATGGATCCAACAAAATGTTCTCACAGTTCACAAGTATGCTGCATCCACAACCTCTTTAAACAAACTTCTGGCTTACTGTAATCGAATTATGGCTTCCCACCCAGAGGTCATCTTTAAATCAAACGATCTTGCAACCTTACCAGAAGAAACTTTGATCACTCTTCTCGAGAACGATGAGCTAAACATGGATGAAGATGATGTGTGGATGTCAGTCGTTCAATGGGCCATTGAGCAAGTGCCAGAACTAGGGCTTGGAAATAATCCGGATAACTGGTCATATAACAACATTAGCATGGTCAAGGACATCATAACAGATTGCATACCTCACATAAGATTTTTCAGTATCTCCCCCAAAACGTTTGTTTTGTATGAGGATTTAATACCTAAAAAGCTGCGCCAAGATATTCTGAATTATCATTTAGACAAAAATTATAAACCACAAACTCCAATCCGACTACCAAGAATAAGAATAAGGCAAAAGTATGATGTTGATTCACTTATTATTAACAATAAGCAAGTGGCATGGATCTCATCAAAGATTGTAGAATTAATGCAGCAACATGAGACAGAAGATCTTCCTGTTTATAACCTTACCCTGCTTTATAGACAAAGTAGGGATGGTGATACTGTTGCAAAATTTAGAAAACTGTGTAATTACAGAGGACCCACAATTTCTGTCGGGAAAGTGTTGGGTACTGAAGAAATACTTGGTGGATATAACTCATTTGCATGGGGATCTCAAAGTAATTGGGTTGGCACTAAAGGAAGTTTTATATTTGCGTTGGATAAAAACATTGGTAAGAGTATAGTAAGTTTTGTTTGTGATGATAGTATAGATAGTTCATATGCCATTTGTGATTATCCTGATTATTTTCCTTCATTTGGGGCTGGCCGTGATTTATTTTTTGGTGATGGTGGAGATAGAAAACCTTATGCTAAAAGACGCACATATCAACTCCCAATAACGCTTTCATCAGATACTTTTGAATGGACTGATTGGGAAGTATTTTCAGTTTCAAACCATAGAACTTGAGCTTTGATCTAAACTTTAATTGTTTTCTAATTATCACGTTTGAGTTAAAAAGAATCTATTCATGCTGTATAATCGCTTTACCTGTAATGTTGGCTTTTTAACGTGAAAATAAAATTTATATAAAATTATCAATTATTGTTTTCTCTCTTGAACTGAAGTCTTTCATTGTTGTGAATCGTTATTTATTTAGAACGCTGTGCTGTTATACGAATATCCATACCCACTGCAGTCCGCTTATTATCTGGCTATCTTCAGCATATTCGTATTCCTAAAACACAAATTTATCGTAGTGAAAATATAGACCTCACAAGTAAAATAATAACTAGACGTTTTTTGATTAATACATAATGTTTCTATACGTTGTAATGTACAGCATGTGTTGGTGAAAATTAAAACTTTTATTATTTACTTGAAAGGTATTTTATTTCATCAATAATATCTATTGGCCTTACGTTTATTCAACGCGCGGCTAACAATTTTATATTACTTATTTAAACAGCAAAACGATATTGTAATGGATACCAATTAGCGATTCCATTTGTAACATAAACTTTGCCACGATAATAAAGCCACTATAAAGCCTGTCTTTATTATTATACTGCGAAATCAGAGATACTGTAGTCTTACATTATTTGATCATTATAGTCAAGAAAGCCATACATTTATCCCACACTTTTAACATCGCGCAGTATAATTCCTATATTAGGAGTAATCTTTATTGTAAAGGCCAATATTAATTCCGGAATATACTGTACGATGTTAAAAGTGTGGGATAACTTTTTGGGTTAATATGACGATAACATTTTGATTGATGTATATTACTAGAAGAATAATTATTAACGCTACTGTATCATTTTTAGAAATGTCATTGCAGGTTTGGTAGGATATATACAAATTATTGTATTGAGAATAACAGTGATATTTAAGGCGGCTAATCAAATAAAAATTAGTCGTCGCCCCTCGCCAATTCATAACTAAGGATTTGCGGTAGATTGACAAACACGCAAGCTAGAACTAGTTTCAAGACTAGATACTTAGTTGCTTTCAAGTTTGAGCTTGAAATTGGGACATTATACTGTATATTCTACTCTGGTAATTCTGTGATAATTTTTGTTTTTTATGTATGCAGGCCTCTGACTAATTTCTCACTGTTACTGTATGTACATTAGCGTGTTTTCTCAACTTAGGTGATAAGTACTAAAGTAACAACGTTTCAAGTAAAACTTTGTAGAGATAGGTTTACGCTTTTATGTGTGAAATACATGCCCCGTATATAAAACTACCCTAGGATCAAAATTAGAAAATATGCGGACGCGTGACTGCTGTGTGGCGACATTGTCAATGTAATGATAAACCACCAAGCAAATTTTACAATTTTGTTTAACTGTTAACGAAAAGAAAGCACAAATCCAATAAACAAGTAAATTCCCAAGTTATGTTGCATAACAGTAATAAATTGTATTTTTTTGGTGCAAATCGAAGTTTGGCATTTGAGATTCCGATTTACATTGGGATGCAGTAATAATTAGCAGGCTTTAGCACTTGCATATGTTAATCATAAATAATACCAGATTAAAGCCAATAACTTTTAATGTTCGAGATAATATTATCTAAATACTCAGCATTATAAAGTCGATAAAAAATAGATAACCAATCAGAGAATATTCTGTTAAAAGTTAGTGTGCGATGCGTGCATACATGAGAAGATAGGGCAGTCTGTAATTTTACTATATTACTGTAAATTTATCGATTTACTAAAATAGAAATGCCAAGCCGATTCTTATGGTAAAATTACAGTTGTCCATAGTTATGTATGGACAAACATGCTTTGCATTAATTCATAACACTAATTTCAAGATAATATTATCTCAAACGTTGAAAAACGCTTGATTTAATCTGGTATTATTTTGATTTTTAACATTTACAACTGCAAAATGTTAGAATTAAACATCATGCCAAAGAATACTATTTTCTTATTGCTATTAATGAAATACTATCAAGTTGTGAAAATCTTAAAACGGACCGAGCCACAGGCCAAATTTCGATTTGGAGCAAGAACATATACAGTACATCATATACAGTCAGAAAGTATACAAGTAATAACTATATTGAGTATTTAGTGCTATCATTGCAACTCCTTTGAGAATGAGCAACTTCTCTAATAATGTTCAATGACTGTCACTCATTAGATAAGGGTCTAAAGTATGCATAATCTGTACAACTAATCAATGTGACATTATTATTATATTAGCCAATAGTTGGCATAATATATTGCATACAATACTTA